TTGCAGAGTGTTTGTGTTCCAGACGTTTGATTTAATCATTTTTATTTTGACTTACTATGAAAAAGGTTCAAGTTCAAAATCATTCAAAATCTCATTTGCTTATTTATTACTGCACAGAAGGTTACAAAGACCATCAGGGCCAAAATTATGCAGGTGATGCAATCACAAATGTCCTGACAAAGTTAGCAGAGTTTATAAGCCGCTGAATAAAGTCTCAGTGTATAAAAGTGAACTTTCTGTGCTCTAGCTGTAAAAAACTATTGGGATGCTCTGTGGTTAGAGGTTTGTAATCGTGTCACAGTTTTAATGGACAAGTAGGACATTAAAATTGCGGATGATTTATTCTTTTTTTTAACTTATTTTATATTTTTTATTACATTTTTAGCATTAATCTAAACCATTTCAACTGTCTCTCATTGGATCACACCTTTTTGTCTATTTCAGTATCAGCTATACAAACAGCCGTTTCGACTAATAGCTACCCCAATGGCACCACTCCAAAACAACAGAAGCATGATTTCTCAAGCTTAGATCATTTAATCCGTCTTTCATTTATCAAACAGGCTTCAGCTGTGTCCACTGCCATGGCTGGATGCTTTAAGGAGACACTCCACAGCTCCACAACAGCAGAGGGACGGCGGGTCGATTTAACCTGCTTCTACGGAGAACTTTGATGGAACTGGCCTAAAAATAAAGCCAGGTGAGAGCCCACCAGGCCCAATCAATCAGCATCACGCAGACACTCTCTGAAAGGGGACGAATTCACGGAATGTTTTCCACCGTTCGATAAAATCCCAATATCTTTTTTTATGTGTCTAATCCTTCCCTTCGCACTTGACGGATGAACGCCGGGGCCTTTCTTCTCGGCCCTCAGTTTTTAGCGCACCTTAGTTCCTTTTCTCACCAATTGGTCACCCATTCTCAGCCCAGTAGTTGGCCGCGATTAATATCTCATACACAGGGAATCCGCGCAGGCCAGTGAACACACAGAATACCGAATGTGTGCGCATCAAGGCCGCCATTTCTGCACAGCTCAAAGCAAATGATGGATGGAGTTAGACAGGGATTTCTGAGGCAGCGTCCTTTGTGCTCAGAGGAGCAGAACAAAAAAGGAAGAATCAAACAGCATGGGACCGGTGTATAATGGCTGAGGTGTGCTGGACTGTCCACGGATAAGTGAGTATTTATGGTGTGAAACGTGTCATGCCTTTGTGCACAAATATAAAAACTGAATGCACACCTTAAGCTTCTGCTATGCAAAGAAAGGCCCACAGACTTACACAGACTTGATTTCACCATTGTAGGATGCCTACAATCTCTCTTTGTCTGTAGATTAAATGATACTCAGCCTTGTAGAGATAAGAAAAATTCAACCTCTATTACAAACTTCAATACGTAGGAGCCTGATATACTAATCAGTCTGCCACCTTTTAAGTTTTATGAGCAGCTTTGGTCCTGGTCTGGGCTCTTTGCAGGCATAATGAAATTGTTTGATCTTGACAGAGAGCCCAGACTATACCCCAGGGAAAAAAAGTCAGCGATACTGAAGAAATATGCTTATTATGCAAGCCGAGTGAAGTTTTATTTGTGATGTGTGATTAAAAAAGACGACACAGTCACTGATGCGTGAAGGCTCGGGAGTTTACCGTATTTTTCCCCCGCGTTACAGGCACAACTTTTGCTCCGACCTCCTCATCCTCAAAGATCTGTGCCCGTTGGAAAAAAGACACGCTGGAGAAGGGTGAGAGGATTTATTACCGAGCATTAGGAGCACTAATCTGTTGCAGGTGTTTCTGGCTGTGCTCCCTGACCAGGCCTGCTCTCCTCTCCGGGAGGCCTCTCTGCTGTGTGTGAATGTGGGACGAGAGCGGAGAAACATTTTCCCCGTCAGTGAGAAAAAACTGAGAGAAGTTTTGACCATTTCTGCAATCCTCTCAAAAAAAAGAAAAAGATGATGGTGGAACAACATTTCCTCCAGCTGCTGACTTGCAGCCAATCGAATCTATCTATATGCATTATAGTAAAAAACTGTTGGATGAAACTTTGCCACTTTTTTTTCCTTCGAAGGACATATCGTTCTTCATGTATAGCAGAAAAGTGCTGAAACAGCAGGGTGGCTTCTGGGGTACGCTACAAAAGAGGAGGACCACCGGCATGGATTTGAAGCTCCAGCTTCACAGGAAGCCTGTGGTGCCTTTGGGCCTGATGAACAAAGGCACAAAAGAGCCCGCTGAGAAGGTCCTGCTCCGTAGGAAGTCCCGAACTCCTGCTGCGGACAGCTTTGAGAAGACTAAACTAAATGATACAGGAGAGAATGGAAATGGAGGAGAAATCCAGGGGAGCAGAGCAAAGCCAAAAAAAACAAAACAAAACACAAGGTCACGTATGAATATGGAGATTTGAAGGAAAAAAAAAACACTGAATTGGTGAATTTAGATGCGTTTTAAATGTAAATGTGTTAGCTGTATTTTTCTATAGCGCTATAAGATAAAAAGAAGTGCTTCTATGAATTTCATACAGGTAATGGGACTTCAGGAGGAGAACCAATGACACATTTCCACAGTTTAGGTGCTACTGCCTCCATGTGGCCAGCAGAAACTCTTCCTCCTGGTTAGTTTAGTCGGTGTGGGAAAGGCGCGTGCCACCTGGGCCGAGTGGGCGTAGCAAACAGATGAAAGCACGGAAGTACTGAAGTGGATGGCAGCATCAGAGGAGGGATTTTACAAACTATAATGACTCTTCCTCATTCCTC